ACCCTCCACACTCCTCTACTGAGTATACTGCCCACTACAATTCCCTCCACACTCCTCTTCTGAACATACTGCCTGTGAGCATTCCCCTCTCATTCCTCTATTGAACATACTGTCTGCTGTCATACCCTCCACACTCCTCTGCTGAATATACAGTCCACTGTCATACCCATCACACTCCTGTACTGAACATACTGCCCACTGTCATTCCCTTCACTCCCCTCTACCAAACATAGCACCCACTGTCATTCCTTCCACACTTCACTCTTTATACCCTCCACACTCTGCTGAACATGGTGCCCACTGTCCTTCCCCTCACACTCCTCTACTGAACATACTACCCACTGCCATTCCCTCCATATTCCTCACATTCCCCTCTACTAAACTTACTTCCCACTGCCATTCCCTCTACACTCCTCTACAGAACATCCTGTCCACTATCATTCCTTTCATTCCCCTCTACTGAACACAATGCCTACTGTCCTTCCCTTCATACTCCTCCACTGAACATACTTCCCACTGTCATTCTTTCCACACTCCTCTACTGAACATACTTCCCACTGTTATTCCGTTCACGCCCCTCTACTGAACATAGTGCCCACTGTCATTCCTTCTATACTCCTCTACTGAACATGCTGCCCACTGTTATTCCGTTCACTCCCTTCTACTGAACTTAGTGCCCACTGTCATTCCTTCTATACTCCTCTACTGAACTTACTGGCCACTGTCATTTCCTTCACTCCCTCTACTGAACATAGCATTCACTGTAATTTCTTCCACACTTCACACTCCATACCCTCCACACCTTACTGAACATAGTGCCCACTGTCCTTCCCTTCACATTCCTCCACTGAACATACTGCCCACTGTCATTCTTTCCATACTCTTCTACTGGACATACTTCCCACTGTTATTCCGTTCACTTCCCTCTACTGAACATAGTACCCACTGTCATACCCTTCACACTCTTCTACTGAACACGCTGCCCACTGTTATTCCATTCACTCCCCTCTACTGAACATGGTGCCCACTCTCCTTCCCTTCCCACTCCTCCACTGAACATACTTCCCACTGTCATTCTTTCCCCACTCTTCTACTGAACATACTACCCACTGTTATTCCGTTCACTCCCCTCTACTGAACATAGTGCCCACTGTCATTCCTTCTATACTCTCCTCTACTGAACATAGTGCCCACTGTTATTCCATTCACTCCCCTCTACTGAACATAGTGCCCACTGTCATTCCTTCTATACTCTCCTCTACTGAACATAGTGCCCACTGTTATACCCTCCACACTCCTCTACCGAAGATAGTGCTGTCAATGGAAGGAACACTTTGATCGTCAACTTATGAGCTAAAAGGGGGTCTCAAATGTGGCCCGCGACGTCACCAAAGGGCTGCACATAATGTTCAATATATATATATAATGCTTTAGAGGACTGTCAGAGACTGCAGAGGGTCAGAAATGAGGGTCAGAGTGTGGACAGGATCCATTTTTGGCTAGAATATGCCACAAGAGATATTACACTGGGAACATGTTACATGAGGCTAGTAGAGATCAATGCTTTTATCCTAATCAATGTTCCCACTACAGACTGCTGAGGTCCAAGGGCCACACATCATATACCAAATGGATGTTTGTGGCCCTTGAGCCGCAGAAATATTGCGCCTTCGACCTCCTCCGAGTGGCTCTCACTTAGCACTCCCTAAAGCTAAAAGCCTCTTGGAGGGTCGGTCAATGTGGCCTCCAGACTCCATCTCGCCGAGAGTCAGGAAAGGTTACGGCGTTTTTTTTTTAAATCTTCTTTTTGTGGGAGATTTAGTGGCGAGCGCGTCCATTATCTGCAGCTGAGTGGCTGGCGTGCAGTTTAGGAGTGCGTCTGGAAGACATGAAACATTTAGAAGAAGCTTCTGGAAGATAAGTGGCCGCATAAAACGCTTCTCTGTCTTATTTCTACTTTTCAGCCGATCGAGGTGATAAAAGTGCTATTGTAATGAATGTAAATAGCGCGATTTATACGGCGGTTTTTACTCTTTTTTTTTTTTACGGCTCAGCGCTGCGGTGCGTTGCTCCGTCCCTGCGAGATAAACAGCTCGGCTGCGTGAAGACACACCCCCCCCCCCCCCCCCCCCAGAGGCAGAGGGACCGTTATTGTCACTTATCCCCGACGCTTTAAATGTTTCATTTTTCTTCGACACCCGAACCTGAAAGTGATTCCGTGGAGCCGGTGTGTTTAATGCTCGGATTAATGGTGACAAATGAATCCTTTCCCACGCCATTACATTCTCCCCATGTGCAAGCTGCTAGAATAACTGCTTGGTAATATTTAAAGAGAGATCGTCCTCCACGGCTGAAGCCAGGATTTGAAAGTTCGATCTTAAATCTGAATTCCAGCCTTGACCTCCATCTTGCATGGTTGTGCAAGCTCCTTTGCTTTCTCTAAGGCTCCATGTACACGGGACACTTCTGAATGATGGAAACTGACTGCTGGAAAACGTAGGTTATAAAACATCTGTTTAGCCGCGTTTGCATAACGCGTTTATGCGCGTTTGCGTTTTAGAAGCGTTTTTTTTTTTTAAGATAAGCACAGGAGAACCTCCCAAATGCCCAGAATGCATTGAAAAGTGGTAAATTATTAACTATTTCAGACTGTTTCAAAGAAATACAGAGAGTAGACGCAGAGACAGCAGTATGTGTTGAGATTAGCTGAGGTGTGAGTTGCTCATTAACATTTCTTTTGTTTCCAAGGGTGAGAAAGGTGTCTGGTGGAGGGAGTCATTAAGGTCACCTGGCAGGGGGTCTTCAGGAGGAGTTAGAGGTGTGAATGGTCATTAACATATCTTTTGTTTCCAAGGGTGGGAGAGGTCTGAATGGTATGGATTAACATATCTTTTGTTTCCAAGGGTGGGAAGGTCTGAGGTCTGAATGGTCATTAACATATCTTTTTGTTTCCAAGGGTGGGAGAGGTCTGCGGTGTGAATGGTCATTAACATATCTTTTGTTTCCAAGGGGAATGTACATTAACATATCTTTTGAGGGTGGGAGAGGTCTGAGGTGTGAATGGTCATTAACATATCTTTTGTTTCAAAGGGTGGGAGAGGTCTGAGGTGTGAATGTACATTAACATATCTTTTTTTCCAAGGGTGGGAGAGGTCTGAGGTGTGAATGGTGGAGAGGTCTGAGGTGTGAATGGGCATTAACATAACTTATGTTTCCAAGGGTGGGAGAGGTCTGAATGGTAATTAACATATCTTTTGTTTCCAAGGGTGGGAGAGGTCTCTGGTGGGGAGAGGTCTGCGGTGTGAATGGTCAAGGGTGAGGTCTGAGGTGTGAATGTACATTAACATATCTTTTGTTTCCAAGGGTGGGAGAGGTCTGAGGTGTGAATGGTCATTAACATATCTTTTGTTTCAAAGGGTGGGAGAGGTCTGAGGTGTGAATGTACATTAACATATCTTTTGTTTCCAAGGGTGGGAGAGGTCTGAGGTGTGAATGGCGATAAAACAGTGTGACAGCAAGCAGCTGACCTGAGGGATCCCACACAGTGACAGATCCGACACACCACCACCAACACTGACACAGATCAGCAGACACGAGAAGAGTAGGCTGTGGGATTGTGATGATATCGCCATTCACTGACACATTGCACATGTGATGGATGGCCGGCCAGCTGGGTCACACTCACACATGAAAAATCATAGTCGGGCATTACCTTCCTCCATCGATGCAGCTCCACCTCTGCTGATGAATGTGAAGAAAAGGGCTGGAACTCCACAGTGATCAGTGAGTAAATCAGATGGCCGCCGGGGCCCCTCGTGGCGCCGGCAGCGTGGCGTCACACACCTGCTGTAGCTCTACCCTCTAGGGTGTGTGACGCCACGCCGCCGGCGCCACGAGGGGCCCCGGCAGCCATCTGATTTACTCCCTTATGGTCAGTATTTTGCTTTCACTCCTATTGTACTCACACTTTTGTATCGAATAAATTATCCAAAAGGTACTGCACTATGTGGGCTCCTTTGTCTCTTTGAGCTCTCTTGGGAGCCAACCATACCGGCAGAGCAAGCTGCATCCTTGGTGAGGAGACTCCCATGTGAGCTGGCTGCATCCATTGTGTGGTGACCCCCATATGTGACAGCACCGCCAGGGAGTGAGGGATAACCTGACCAGACCTATTTGATGATATCCTGATGACCAGTGGTTTTCTACTATTCATGCCCTTTTGATTTGCGTATCTGGTGAGTGCGCAATCTAATCATTTATCACCTGATCCACGGTCCTTATCACTGGATATCCTGAGATCATCTGAGATCTTATCAACACCTTTCCTTTGTGGACTTTTACTGGGTCAACACCTTTCAGCACCTTTGGCCACCTTTCAGGGGCTCATATATTTGCACCTTGTCACTCCATTTGGTTGATATTGTTGTTTTACTAGCGCTGCACCCCCTCTTTTTATAAGTATATATCATACCTGTGGAATCCCTCTAGAAGAAGCTGTATAGACACCTGTGATCTCCACTTGCTTTCGGGTTCCATTCCATGGCTACCATAATGCATTCTTAACGCAGGGGGCCGGCTGCTTGGCATGGGCACCATTTAGAGAATGCTTTGCATTTTCCAAATGAATGCAAAGCATTCTCTGATTGGATGAGGAGGAGAGCATGACATCACTGCCTCTCCTCCCCACCTCATCCAATCAAAGAACGTTTTGCATTCGTTCAGAGAATGCAAAATGGTTTCTGAATTATGTTCATGCCAAGGAGCCGACCTCCTGTGTTCACAAGGTACCAGGCCAGCCACACAGTACTAGTAGAGATCACTGTGTGTAGCGGTGTAGTAGCAGTGTCTACTACAAAGATTTCCAGCTTCCAGGGGCATCAGCAAGGTATGGTATATACATAGTTGGCTTAAACTGGTACAATGTAATTATGTATGAAATGGCCATACGTGGAATTTCTCTTGAAGGAAACAATTTTTCTCCTGCAGCTGTCTGATGACATCATTCCCATGGGACGCACCCCTCAGGCAGGCCTTAGGAGACCTTGCCTAGGCCCTGTCACTTGTCTGCATTTCAATGATAACTGGTGCGATCGAAAAACTCCTGAACCCGTTCCACGCAGCGCAGCGTTTCATGAACATATTCCTGCGGACTCACGAAGCTACTGATAGGCCTGCTTTAACCCCTTCCAGTCCGGACACTTCCCCCCCCCCCCCCTTTCCAGTCCAGACACTTTTCACCCCCTTCCAGTCCGGACACTTTCACCCCCCTTCCAGTCTGGACACTTTTCACCCCCTTCCAGTCCGGACACTTTCACCCCCTTCCAGTCCGGACACTTTCACCCCCTTCCAGTCCGGACACTTTCACCCCCTTCCAGTCCGGACACTTTCACCCCCTTCCAGTCCGGACACTTTCACCCCCTTCCAGTCCGGACACTTTCAACCCCCTTCCAGTCCGGACACTTTCACCCCCCTTCCAGTCCGGACACTTTCACCCCCTTCCAGTCCGGACACTTTCACCCCCTTCCAGTCCGGACACTTTCACCCCCTTCCAGTCCGGACACTTTCCCCCCCTTCCAGTCCGGACACTTTCCCCCCCTTCCAGTCCCGACACTTTTCCCCCCCTTCCAGTCCCGACACTTTCCCCCCCTTCCAGTCCGGACACTTTCACCCCCTTCCAGTCCGGACACTTTCACCCCCTTCCAGTCCGGACACTTTCACCCCCCTTCCAGTCCGGACACTTTCACCCCCTTCCAGTCCGGACACTTTCACCCCCCCTTCCAGTCCGGACACTTTCCCCCCCTTCCAGTCCGGACACTTTCACCCCCTTCCAGTCCGGACACTTTCACCCCCTTCCAGTCCGGACACTTTCCCCCCCTTCCAGTCCGGACACTTTCCCCCCCTTCCAGTCCGGACACTTTTCCCCCCTTCCAGTCCGGACACTTTCCCCCCCTTCCAGTCCGGACACTTTCCCCCCCTTCCAGTCCGGACACACTTTGTCCGGACCCCCCCTTCCAGTCCGGACACTTTCCCCCCCTTCCAGTCCCGGACACTTTCCCCCCCCCTTCCAGTCCGGACACTTTCTCCCCCCCCTTCCCCGACACTTTCCCCCCCTTCCAGTCCCGGACACTTTTCCCCCCCTTCCAGTCCCTTTCCCCCCCCTTCCAGTCTGGACACTTTCCAGTTCCAGACTGGACTTTTAACCTCCCTTCCAGTCCCGACACTTTAACCTCCCTTCCAGTCCCGACACTTTAACCTCCCTTCCAGTCCCGACACTTTAACCTCCCTTCCAGTCCGGACACTTTCCCCCCCTTCCAGACGGACACTTTAACCTCCCTTCCAGTCCGGACACTTTCACCCCCTTCCAGTCCAGACACTTTCACCCCCCTTCTAGTCCAGGCCAATTTTCAGCTTTCAACGCTCTCACACTTTGAATGACAATTGCGCGGTCATGCAATACTGTAGCCATATGAATTTTTTAGCATTTTTTGAGACAGATACAACTTTATTTTGGTGGTATTTATTCACCGCTGGGATTTTTTTTTTTTTTTTGCTATATAAATGAAAAAGTCCAAAATTGTTCAAAAAAAAGTGTTTTTCTTATAAAATTTTGCAAATAAATAATCTTTCTTCATAAATCTTGGCCAAAATGTATTCAGTTATCTTTTTAGTAAAAAAAAAAAATAACCCAAATTAGTTTATAACCAAAAATTATTATTTTTTTATTTTATTTTTTTATATTATTTGTTTTAGTTTTTTTTAACATACTGTCACCCTAGCAGTAGGGTCACCATGGTGACACTGTCCTACTTGTGGGGGGTGATAAAGATTTTTTTTTTTTTACACTGATTGCTTTTTCCACCCATAAAGGCTGTAAAAGCAATAATTTCTCCTTCTCTCTGGCTGCATTTCTGCAGCCATTGAGAAATACTGTGAGAGCTGTGATTGGTCACAGCTTGTCACATGGTACAAGGCTGTTGTGAATAGCCCTGTACCATGTGATCTCTGTGATCATTCATGGATTTCGCTAGTAGTAAGCAATGATGTCAGAATTGACATCTTGCTTACTACTCTTCATGTGATCACTGATTGGCCAATCAGTGATCACATGATCGGGACCTCACACAGAGGTCCCATAACGACGATCGGTGTTCCACTGTGTCCAGAGGACACAGCGGGCACCGGATTGCGCTCCCCAGGAGCGCGCACAATCCAAAATGGCGGGCGCCATTTATGAAAGGCAACCCTCCCCTGTCCAGCCATTTATATACATGGGCCAGACAGGAAGTGGTTAAGTCCGTCAGTTCTGCGCCGGCCCTTCTGTCTCGTCCCCCACATTCGTAAAGCGTCCTCATGACTCAGACTGCTCCGAATTCCCCTCAGACGTGAGCTCATGTGGAATATATTGTGAAGGATTAGGGAACGCGGCACAGAAATCGTCCCTTCTGTCTAATGCGATCTTGTGAATATTCATGGCATAACCGGCATCTCATGCAGAATAATGGCGCGGCGTTCAGCGTATGTAATGTGCCGACTCCCCGTAGACCCGCTCGTCTCTCCAACTCAACTCTGACTCCGACTTCACTTCAGAGCGCCGCTGTCACTACCAGCCGGGTAGCCGCGCTATTTTATCGACACAGGGTGATGGCTAATACACAAGGGGAGCGGGACGGCTTCGGAAGTTTTGATTGCACGCTCGGTGCTAAAATATTCATACATTCCAACATTCTAATTCACTGGGCTTGAAAAAATTAAAATAAAAATGTTTATTTCTTAACGACTTGCTGACCGACATATGTATAAATGTCAGTAAGCGGTTATTACCCACATGGAAGAAAAATATATATTCGAAATATATTTTTAAAAATATACTTCCCAAATATATATATGCTAAAATGACTTTTCTATATTTTTAAACAAAACAAATCTGAAGAATAGATTCTATTATATATATATATATATATATATATATATATATATATATATATATATATATATATATATATATATATATATATATAAAAATAAAATATATATTTTTTTTTAAAGATATATTTTTTAAAAATATATTCTTCAGTTTCTTTAACATATAAAAAAGTAATTTTAACATATATTTTTACATATATTTGTAAATGCATTCCAAAAATGTAGAATTGTATTTTTAAAGACATACAGTATATTTACAGTATATTTGAAATGTACTTTTAAAAAATAGTTTTCATATAAAAAATATATTTTCATATTTTTTTTTGTAATAAAAACAAAATTTCAATGTAATATATATATATATATATATATATATATATATATATATATTATATTTATTTATTTAATATATTGAATATTTTGGCCAAAATTATAACATTGCAAATATTCCAACGTACAAATATATATATATATATATATATATATTTACAAAGTATATTTTTTTAAAAGTACATTTCAAATATACTGTAAATATACTGTATGTCTTTAAAAATACAATTCTACATTTTTGGAATGCATTTACAAATATATGTAAAAATATATGTTAAAATTACTTTTTTATGTTAAAAAAACTGAAGAATATATTTGTAAAAAAAAAAAAAAAAAAAAAAAAAAATAAATATATATATATATATATATATATATATATATATATATATAAAATCTATTCTTCAGATTTGTTTTAAAAATATAAAAAAGTCATTTTAGCATATGTTTTTACATATATTTGAAAATGCATTCCAAAATGTAGATTTTTATTTTTAAAGACATACAGTATATTTGAAATGTATTTTTAAAAATATTTTTCATATGTTTTGTAATAAAAATGCATTTCAACGTACAATATATACATAATAAATATATATATATATTGAATATGGCCAGAATTGTAGCATTGCAAATGTATGTCAATATATTTGGGAAGAATATTTTTAAAATATATTTCAGATATATTTTTCTTCCATATGTGTATGACTTTGGCTTCAGTCGTGGTCTTGGTACCTTTTATTTTTTTTTTTTTCCGCTGTCCATCTGCTGTTTTTGTAAAAGTGATCACTTTTAAAGCGCTGCGAAGGGCGACCCGCACTGGTTCATCCGGGGTGCCCACGGCCGTGTTAAGCAGCAAGGACTGCTTCCCATAGAGGAGATGGAGGACCATCATTCTCCGATCTCCTCTGTGACAATGAACTCGAAAGCGACAATGATTTTGTTACTTCAGATTACAGCCAGGGAAGCCGCTAACCAAGCACGACCTGTGCTTGGCTAGCTGCTCTGAAGGGCAGGGGAGACATCAGGGGTCTAATAACCCCTCGATGTCGCCATAGAGAGTACCAATTTCAGAGCTGGCAGTACCTGGCTGTTACAGCCAGGGAAGCAGCTAAGAAAGGATGATCTGTGGTGGTCCCCCCTGCCCTCCAGAGCAGCTAACCATCAGGGGTCTAATAGCCCCCTGATGTCTCCTTAAAGAGCACCGGTTTCAGAGAGGTCAGTCCCTGGCTGTTACAGCCAGGAAAGCCGTTAACCAAGCATGATCTGTGCTTGGTTAGCTGCTCTGAAAGGCAGGGGAGACATCAGCGGTCTAATAACCCCCTGATGTCTCTAGAGCCAGGGACTGACAGAGAGTACCGGTTTCAGAGCTGTCAGTCCCTGGCTGCTACAGCCAGGAAAGCAGTTAACCAAGCATGATCTCTGCTTGATTAGCTGCTTTGGAGGGCAGGGGTGACATTGGGGGTCTAATAGCCCCCTGATGTCTCCATAGAGAGTACCTGTTTCAGAGCTGTCAGTCCCTGCCTGTTACAGCCAGGGAAGCAGCTAAGAAAGCATGATCTGTGCTGGTCTCCCCTGCCCTCCAGAGCAGCTAACCATCAGGGGTCTAATAGCTCCCTGATGTCTTATCTCTGAATCCGGACTCTCTAGGGAGACATCAGGGGCTATTAGACCCCTGATGTTAGCTGCTGTTGAGTGCAGGGGAGACAACACAGATCATGCTTTCTTAGCTGCTTCCCTGGCTGTAACAGCCAGGGACTGACAAGTCTGAAACTGGTTCTCTCTTAAAGGAGACATCGAGGGGTTATTAGACCCCCAATGTCACCCCTGCCCTCCAAAGCAGCTAATAAAGCAGAGATCATGCTTGGTTAACTGCTTTCCTGGCTGCAACAGCCAGAGACTGATAGCTCTGAAACCGGTACTCTCTGTCAGTCCCTGGCTGTTACAGGCAGGGAAGCAGTTAACCAATCATGATCTATGCTTGGTTAGCTGCTCTGAAGGGCAGGGGAGACATTGGAGGACTTATAACTCCCTGATGTCTCTAGAGAGAGTACTGGTTTCAGAGCTGTCAGTCCCTGGCTGTTACAGCCAGGAAAGCAGCTACACAAGCATGATCTGTGCTTGATTAGC